TATGTGACATACATGTATCAGTTGAAAAGCTGAAAATTGACCTATCATTATGCAAATTAGGTAATTAATATGCAAGTTTTACCCACAATTTTAATAATCAGATCTTTGCATTGTCTCATAGCATACATGTAGGTACCTAGTTTCATTAAAATCCAATGAGTGGTTTTTCAGATATCAGTGGAACAGTCATGGTAGAGCTAAAAATCAGCTAATTATGACATGCAAATCAGGTAATTAATATGCATGGATTTAAACCAAAACCTAGAGTAATCAAATCTGTGAATTAGCCAAGAGCATCTATACATCAAGTTTCATCAAAAACCAATATATTGTTCTTGAGATATCAGTGGGAAAGCCAGACATACACACAGATGCACAAGACGGCGCCAGCGAGATTCGAAAGCCAATCGTTCAGTCAAAATCAAAGTAGTTAGCCAATTGGCTAGCGAGTTTGCAAATTGACTGCCCCAATACTTCTGAGACTTGCTGTAAGTCATGCTAATTTATGCAAATTACACATCGATGTACAAGAGGTCAAAGGTTACATATAAATTGTGGGTACGTTCATTGCAGCTGTTCAAAGATATGCATAATATTTCATAATCTGAAAGGGAAACCTTCCAAGTCCAGGGATTGCACCAAAGAATCTATCTTTTGTTATCCATTATAATTTTAATCCAGAAAGTAAATATGTTGTGAGATTAGGCTTAACTGGAAGTGCCCCTTTAACAATATATGCTATGATTAGGTACCATATACTGGTAACTATCCAAACATCACATTACAACAGATCCAGTAATCCTCAATCAAACAAATTGTATAATAAACAAAGCTTGAACTATTACATCAAGATTTTCTATCATTATCATCTATAATAATAATCTGATATGAGTTGATTTCTACCTTGGCTACAACAGCTGCATATCTGACATCAGCTCTCCAAACCTCTCCTTTGCTCCAACCAACAAGTGGATCAGCTTCACTGTGAATAATTAACAAAGTTTCTTAAGAATTATATTTAACAAGTATAAAAATGTCTCTAGCCATATTACGACCAAGTACATGTAAAGAAAGCGATAATCAAATACTTCTCAATCAGAATATCATTCATTGCATTTTGAAAATAGAATTTTAAAAATGAAGCACTTCATAGAAATATTTAAGATATTATTGTAACAGTTACTCTTACTCATTATATATTGGTAGATGTGCTAATGTTGGATGTTTTGTTTGAATTCTCTTTATTGTCTCCAATTCTGTGTCTAATATATGCATAGATGACCCTTCACCCTGTGAGAGAGAAAATAATAATGTTTATGTAGTAAACAGGAAAATAAAATTCACAATAGTGTACATGATAGGTGATTTTCTGTTCACTGCGAGGTCTTGCATAATGCGCGAAAGACGTGGACCGAAAAATCTACTGCAAAAATCAATTTAATTTTGAATTTGACACTCTTATTTTATAGTTCAATGCCAAAATGCTTAGGATTCAGTGAGGAATGTGGCTTTGAGGTACGTGTACTTCAAATTAGTTACATCACAATTGCCTATCATTTAATATGTTTACCCCATTATTAAGCACAGAAATACCAAAACAATGCTTCTGCGTTTGTTGAATCTTTTGACGCCACTATGATGCTGTGATCTTCGTTTGTCCTGTTTTTATGTTTGATTTCATGCATATGGTAATAGCCAAAGCCAGGAATGCCTTCGTAAAACTAAAATCCAACTTGGAATTAAGCAAGCCAATACAGTCAGAAAATTAAACTCAAGCTCTACAATAGCAATGTAAAATCTGTCCTTCTCAATGCATCTGAATGCTGGCGTGTAACATGATCAAGTTATCATCTTTCCACAATAGTTGCTGAGGAGAATTTGCAGAATATTCTGGCCAGTGATCATATCCAATGACGACCTTTATAGGCAAACACATTCTAAGGACATTATTATTGAAATTAAAAGCCGAAGACTGAGATGGTTGGGTCATGTACTCAGAATGCCTTCAATTCAAGTTAGTCACCAGATGCTGTGAGTGAATTCTTTTTTAAACTTGCATAATCCTACTAGCCACAAGCATGCACTCTACCACTGACCCAATTCATTCCACACTCTATCAGACCATGATAAAAGTTGTAACTGTGATCTTATGCTTTCATACAAGTTAGACAAAAACTGTTTGACACTACATTTATTTGTGCAGTAACATTCAGTAAATATCACTAAGTATGCACAAAGGCAGTACAACAATTGAAACAAGCTCGGCTATGCATCAGTTGATGTATTTCCTTCCTATCTGAGTGTATACTTTGTGATATACTCTCCAAACCTTATTTATAACCTTATAAACCTTATTTACAATCTTTTCCTGCATATAATAATAAGTTTTTGAGATTAACCTGCATTCTTCAATCATAATAAAAACACTGGTAATGGAAATGACTGACAAAAATAAGGGAAGAAATGAAATAAAGTCTAAGTGAATCAGGCCAGTTGTAAAAATATAAAAACATTGTATATTCATGATCCTTGCTATGAAGAAATGTACCTTATGGTGAAATGCAATGTAATCCAATCTTACACCGGTCTCACCAGTGAAATAGTTTTTACCACTCTCACAATGTTTTAGTAATGCCCAACATATCGGTGACTTGGAGGGTCTTTGCAGCCTCCTGCAGGACCACCAAATTTTAACAATGGACTGGCAGCTTTTAATCCCTCTGAGCAGGCATCGTAGTAGTTTAAAAATCCTACAGAATGAAAGAATTGAAATAAAGAAATTTTTCTGGACTGGTTCTGTTTGCTTTTCAAAATCGATAATTTTTTTATAAATTGCATTTGGTGTTTCTGTCTGTATACTGTAAACCACTTTAAACTCGCAATAGATAAATTTTCATAAATCAGTGAAACAAAATGGTTTACAGCACTTTTTAATTAAAACTATTTTTTTTACAAGAAAATTTAATTTTTCTGTATTTTTTCTAAAACCTTAACGAAAGCTGTAACATGCATATTTTAAACTAATGCATAACAGAAACACAAAGTCATTGGCCCGAAAAGTGCAGTTGATCAAGGTATAAGCAATAAGTTCATTTATCAAGGATTTGCGCTTCTTCATAATACTGCAATAGTGTTTGTGCTTAGATGTGTCTATGGTCAAAATAAGTCAGATTTTATTCACAATAAATGATTTTTTTGGTTTATACAGGAAAAGCATTGCGTTTGTAAAATGAATGGATGTTGTCAAAGTCATTGAAATCTGGTTTGTTCCAGGTCTCAAAATTCCAGTGTGAAATATAACCAAGTTCATATTGATCTCTGAGTAAAATTAAGTAAATGCCACAAAATGACATTACCTTGTAGTGTTATATTTAAATCATCAAAATCATGGTGATCAGGTTCATTCCATGTCTCAAAGTTCCACTGTGATACATACCCAACACCGTACTGATCTGAAATAAATAAGAGACCACACAATGACATTATCTCTATGCAAAACTACACTTAAAAACATTGCAACTATTTTACAGATGGGGTACAGTAATATAAAAGCTAGGAGGAAAACTTTATTTTCTCTGAAAACAACATTTTTATATATACTAAAAAGAATGGCAAATTCAGTTTGAATATAATCACACTTCTTTCTGTAACTACCATTAAGCCATCTCTAAAAAAAACAATATTTTAAACTATTGGGCCAGGTCCTTTGCATAACAAGTCCTTTGCATAAACACTACTGTATTGTAAGGCCGTCTGCTCAGTTGTCAAAAAATTAGAGATCATGTTTACCAACTTTCTACCTCAATATTTCAGAGACTTGCTGTAAGAATCTCAAAAAAATGTTCACTGTTCCAAAATTTTCCGGTTAATTTTGTCTTTTTCATTCATCATTGGCTCTCATATTTAAAACTGGGAAATACAGTCAGCCAACAACCAATCAGAATAGAGGTTGCTTAGTACTGTTCCTGGTTGAAAATGCTACTTACCAATGTATTGTTTTGCTATCATTGTCACCATGTCCCTCCACTGTGTGACTTGTACCTTGTCATCAAATGTACTATAGTGACTTGATGGGTTGCCCATGATCTCAAAGCCAGGTCTTAGACCATTCTGCCATAGTAAGTCTATCAGCTGATCTAGCAGAGTGAAGTTATATATTGCAGTGCCATCTTCAATCCTATATGTATGAATTAAATAGATCATGTGACAATTAAGACAGTAAGGGATGGGCCATTGCGAAACTGGGGGTGGAGTTTGAATGATTTGAATAAGAAGTCCAGTTGGTCTAAGAGAGTAAAGTTATGGTACACTGCAACTATACAATATTCTGTTTGATTTGATTTGTACAATTTTGAAAACTTACTTCATCGTTATCATATCCAACAACCAATGGATTCTGATTTGTTCAATACCATTGTGTGGAATAGAACCGATATAGGCTAAATTTTGCACTTCATCTTCACTTAGAAAATATTTGTAGCCATCTTGGTGTGGTTCAGGTGGACTGGAATTGAATTACCAAAACATTTAATGTATTAAAACACTAATATATACAAGTTTGAAACAACAATTTTTTATACATCCTACAATTATATCCTGATAATCTTTCATCTGAAAAAAAGCAGTTCACTAACTTCTAGATTGCTTAATTTGTGTTATAGCTGATATTTTAATATGACTGTCTTGCTTTACTTTACTTGTAGAAAGCAAAGAATATATGTTATTACTAATTTAGTCAAATTGTTCTAACGAGAATTTTTTTTAGTGCCAATATTTCCCCGAAACATCACTGTACAAATGAACCAATAATGACAACCATACTTGCTCCACAAGTAGTTCATGTACTTACATAATTGGCACAGATGTTTCTAAAATATTAATAAATAATACATTAATTAATGATCTAGCATAATAAATGCATTTTTTTATTTATGTTTGCCAAACACAGCAAGGCACCTTTACTCAAAATTATCCCCAAATCATTCTCCTGAATTGTATGCAGAACAGTGCTTTATTTTTATCAAAAATTCCAGTAAATTTTTGAATTTGAAGAGTGAAAAAAATCAGGTTACAGTTAAATTATTTGGAGAATTGCTTGAATTACAATTGCTTTTTTCAATTTCAATTTCTCTTAATCGAAACTTAAATTTTATTTGGTGAAATTCTCCTGATTTGGAGAAAAGTGTCTTGCTCATACACTTCAATACAACCACTCCCTAAACGCTAACTTTATTTTAATAATATTAAAGCAGGAGCGACAATAACAACACAAGCGAAAATAACAACACACGCTAAAAACGCAACGGCTCATGGGTAGACGCTTGTTTGTAAACAATGACGACTCTCCCGCTTTAAGATTAATTTATTAAAACATATCATATCTCTCTCTCGGGGGAGGGGCAAAACAAAACAAAAAAGAGAAACAGGCGAAACTGAATAAGACACTGCCACGCCCCTTTCAGATTACATTGGTGGAGGGCAA